CCCCCCAGTGGCACAGCGGTATGTCAGTGGACTTACAACGCTAGAATCCGGGTTTCGATACCCGTGGTGGGCAGAGAACAGATAGCCCATTGTGTAGCTTTGTGCTTAATTACACACAAACAAACAAACATCTTGGTAAATTAATTACACGAGTTGGCCCCCTAGCTAAAAACTAACAAGGCGACCTTTCCGGTCACGTGTGTGGAATATTTCCGCTGATTATTGGATTCTAAAAGTTTGCCCCCAGCAATGTGTTGACAGCCCCATCTTACGTGAAGACCGTTTCGTTCAAACTTCTTCTCTCAAGTGTAGGAAAGAGAAACATGTTGAAATTTCATTGAATGGACAGCAAATGCCTGTTTTAGAAACACAAATATAGAGGGCGACGTTTCGAAAGTCTGTCGCGTTTTGTCTTCAACCAAATTTCATCATGAATACTCTGCCTAAAAAAATCTATCAAAGAAGGTGACTTGTGTTTCAAGTTACGTCGACAACCGGTCCTTCTTGTCCAACGTTGTTTATAAATTCCCCATAGGTCTTACTTCTGCACGGTCGTTCGTCACTTATAACTATGGCTGTAACGAGACTTCCCGAGAATTATTCTAATGATAATAACATCCGATTAGAGCAAAACTGAAAATCAACCTGATCATACGTATAACTAATTAAATGTATTTTTCTTACGTTTACATTTATATATTGGGATGCATTGTTTCATAAGTTAATTACCCTCGCAGTTAGCGACATTTTCGGCCGTAATACCAATAATATCTCACAACGTTCGACCAGTTGGGAGGTTTAAATTAATCCAAATAAACATATTTTAAGCGCACAATACCAAACCATCTTTATAATAAAAGTATAACAATAAAATCAAAATGAAAAAAGTAGTGATTTCGATGTATTAACTAATATAACCAATACAGTTAACGAAAATAACAATAAATATACAATATAATAATATACCTTATTCAGGGAACACACAAACACTAACCCTTGTCTTCACCTATCGTCGTAGAAGTTACTTTCTTTGGAAATTGGGAACTTGTTCTCACTTGCAGGTCTCTCGACAAAAAGAAACTCATTAAGCCACTCCTACTGTATAATTTCAAAGACTTGTCACATCTGTGACGATTTAAAACGTACTGACAGACACCCGCAAAACTTTTACGGTCAGATTAGTATCTATTATTGTAATAGTACTTCTTTAAATATAGGATATCTATATCTAGGATAATACAAAATAATTATAATCACTCACACTGCAATCTACATGTCCGCTTGCCTTAGGCCTAACATTGGTTAAGCCTTTATTAAGTACGGCCTGCATAGATAAAAAAATAAACTAACACTATAACTTGTGTACGTTTTTTGCTTTAATTTAGTTAAGGCTAAACTCTACCGTACTTTGTAGAGATGATACAAATGCCATCCCTACTATCTTGTTTACATTGTTTTTGAAGAATTGATATCAGCCATCCCTACATTTACTTCCTTTTTTTGAAAAGGTTTTTCTTTACTTGTTTGCTTGTCTTGTTTAATGCAGTGTTTCAATAGACAT